GATGGGGGTTGTAGTCCAACCCGTCTGCAGGGCAGGTCGCCCAGCTGAATTCGGTCTCCGCCAGTCGAGGGCAGACCGCTGCGGACCGGGGCAGCTTTGGAGAAAGGTCGGCTAGAGGTCAGCGAACGGCGGCCCCCTTTCCGCGAAGTAAAACTCCATCGCGCGAAGGGCCGAAGCGGAAGCCCGAAAGACTCAGGCAGCCCGGAGTGCTTAAAATGGCAGACGGGGAGGTGGGGGGGTTACTGAAACGGGCTTGAGCTACTTACAGTTTGCTAACGTGTTTTGAAGCTAATGCGTGAAGCTGCTTTTTAATGGAAAGGTACGCGGATTACGCCTTCATACTGGAGCTCAAGAAGCGTGCCGTGCGTGACCGCTCTAGCGCTTCCCCGTCCTTTTGCCTCTTTGAATATCGCCGGAAATTGTAGTTACGGTTGGGTGCTGTGAATCAACAGTTGCTAACGGTTGTAGTTTTCTTTCCACAGATTCATGCACAGAAATATATCTTGTGCATTTGTGTTCATCAGCTAACTTAAGTTCCTCCCACAGTGGTGGTGTCGAAGCTTTGGTTGGATTTGCATAAGCCCCGGAAGCAGGATAATTAAAGACCCAGTAGCTGCATTTGCTTAGTGTGTTCATCTTGATTATTTGGGGGCAACATTTGTGTATTGCATAAATCCACCCCATTTAAAGGATTGTGCAAAGCCAGAAACTGGGCCTGTTTGCAAACCAGTGTTCATGAGTTGTGCAAACATCCTTTATCCTTTGCTATGTAGAAGCCTGATGAATTCTCTCCTTGGACTCAAAGCAGCTTTCACCTTTGATAATAGAGAATCTCAAATAGTAAAATAGCAAAGTAATATTTTTCCTTTCCTGTCTGTGGTAAGTTGTAACGAAATTGGCAGCAGGTGGAATAGCAGGCCTTTTCTTATTGCTTCCTGAAGGATTTTGCAATCATCCTGAAATGTTAACCTTTTTACTGAACCTTAGGATTGTTGGGGGGAGGGGTGTAAGGAAGACTAAGCTTTTTTATAAGAGGAAAATCAGTTTCTATGGATTTTTAAAATTGACAAGTAGCAGGCTTGCAAATAATGAGAGGAAAATATTTCTTTTTAAGGGATAGCCTTTTTCCTGAATGTCCATCCAAGAGACCCTGGTTCCATTAGCTGAGGCCATAAACCTCCTTCAGGTTTGTTTAATTAAAAAAGAAAAACCCTTTTCATTTACCTAAAACCTGAGTCATGACAGGTTGCAGAGGAGTTGCATTGGTGCTGGGGATGCCATTTTTTGCAAGTTTCGGTTTCAATCACTCTGACTCTTCCCTTGGTGGATGAGCTCCCCGCCTTCCTGCTTTCAAAAAGCATTGGCCGTTTTAGGGAGGAGGGTTTCTGTCCCCTGTTGCTTAGAGGCCTGGGCTGGGGCTGTCCTAGGTGCCGCTGGTGGGGAGACCAAAGATGGGCAATAGGCCACATTTCATGTGTTTGGGGAAGTGAGGGCCCCAAAGCATGAGCAAAATGAAAAGTTGGTGAGGTGTGATGCAGATAGAGGAACTGCCAGCAATTTGTTTTTTCAGTGGTTGGGGGAGGGGCATTCCTGGCATGTTGTAAGGACTCTCACTACAATTTTTATGCATTTCTCACCTCAGCCCAGCAGTTGTATGGCAGGGGCTCTGGGGGTTGCAAGCAAGAGCGATAAGGGCCAGAATTTGCCCACTCCTGGGGCAGTTGATGGAAAGGTGGGCAAGAGATGCAGCTCTCATTTGGTTGCTTTCAGAGTTTCCCAGCAGTGGCAATCTTCCATTAGCTGAACCTAAGCTGCAAAATGACTTTCAGAATTTTAAAAGAATCAGAAAGTAGCTTTTGTTACTTGACCTCTTTAAACTGTTTTCTGCTAGTGCGGAGATTCTTTCTGCCCTATCTACCCAGAGAGCCAGTTTGGTATAGCGGTTAAGGCATCAGGATAGAAACCAGGAGACCGTGAGTTCTACTCCCTGCCTTAGGTGCAAAGCCAGCTGGGTGACCTTGAAATCGTAGGAAGAAGGAGGCAAGGGCAAACCAATTCCAAAAACCTTGCCAAGAAAACTGCAGGCAGTCGCCAGGAATCAACACTAATCTGAAGGCGCGCGCACACACACACACACACACACA